CCCCATGCCCCTCCCATGCCCCCTCCCCCGGCTCAGCAACTGGTGCCTCCAGGGTCTGGGGGGGCACCCAGGTTCCCCCCGTGTCCAATTGCTGAGCCAAGGGGGTGCAGGGGAGGGGGGGTCCGCCAAGCACATGGAGGGCCCCCCCCGTACTCCTGTTTATCCGCTCCACCATCTCAGCGTTCACAAGCTGCACTGGTACCTTGAGGTACGTAGAAAAAATATTTTAAGCTGTGTCTATGTCCAAATTGCTGATTCTCTGAATCAGCATTGAATCTAGTTCAGATTCGGATATGGCTGAATTGAATCAAAGACAGTGATCCGAATCAACGAATCAAAACACTGTCTCTGATTTGGGCTGAATCCAAACAGATAGCCTGGTACCCACCCTTGGAGCACCTGGCCTCCCAGGGCTTGGTGGGAGCCTCCTGGGCCACATGAGGCCTGCAGGTCACCAGTTTGACAGCTCTGGTTTAGATAACGATCCTGCTTGGAGCAGGGTGTTGGATTAGATGATTTTTTTTATGTGCCACTTCCTGCCTTTGGCTTCAGCATGACTGTCTTTCACCAGGGCTCCTTGGTGAGGCTGAAAGGTTTGGACTCTGGTGGGGATTAGGCAACTGTCTCAGTCCCAGCCCTCAGAGCACTGGAGCCCGCTCTGCTGTGGTGGGGAAGCTGGGTCTGACAAATAGCTGTTTGCTGGGTTCAGCCCCTCCCCTCCCACTGCACCAGAGTTTTGAACCCACTTGGGTGGTCAGTCCCAGCTCTCACAGGGCACGGAAGTGTCCTGATTGTATTACCTTCCTGGAACAGTCTGATGTTAGCTCACCCCATGTTAGGTAATACTATCTGAAGATACTCCTTGCTGGAAAAGTCCTAACTTTGCTACGCTACAATGGCACTTAGCATGTGGTTTACTGCTTGAACACTCAAACAAGCATTTTAAGTGCAGTTAAGATGTCCTCAGTAAAACAGCGGTGACTAATAGGTGGAACAGGATCTGTCCATTTGCCTTTTGGAAGATATTTAATTAGCACATATTAGCAGCAAATCTGGACAGACTTCACTAAAACAGGACCTCGTTAATTGGTCATCTGGAGCATAGTACCTAGGAGCATTGACTACAAATGCAAAGCCTTCATGCAGGTGCAGGCTTGCAGCTCAGCCTACCAATCCTGCCCAAAGTCTAGCATTGCAGCCTGGGAACAGCAGGGCCTTCTTGCAAGCTGCTCACCCCTCCACTCTTTGCTTCAAATCCCCTATGTTATTTGCACATGTAATGGCCCTGTTGGCAAACAGTCATGAAAAATTATTGCTCTGGTCCCTGGTAACTCATCATTGTAACAAGATAACTCCATTCTTATGGTGACAACTGGTATCTTTGCCACCATCATGCCTACAGGATTCACACTCATTTGGCACATCTACATGAGATGTTTACTGTGCAGTAGCCTAATAACACTGTGCAGTAATGTGCCGGTAAAAAAACCTGTTAATACGCTACTGCACAGTGTTATTAGGTTACTATGCAGTAAGCATCACAAAATGGTGCACCAGCGCTACTGCACAGTAACTGTAGCTACTGCACGTTTGTTAGTACTTCATTAAGCAAGTATTAAACTAAATGCACAGTAACTACTGTGCCTTAATGAACGAGTAGATGCACCCACCGACTATCTTATCCTATGTTGATCTGGGTTGGAGCAGCCCCAGGCTGGCAGGCTGACCCTCCAGGCCGCCTGCCAGCTGGGGCTGCTCCAACCTGGCTCAATGTGCTGTGGTCCCAGACGTACATGGAAATGCAGTGTCTGGGAGCAATAAACTGCTGGAGTTTATTGCTTCATATTAAGTGCACATGTAGATGCACCTTGTTAATACAAGTCTCTTGGTTAGAGATTCTTCCTGCTGCCAAATGATGTAGTGACTTCATGATGCAAACAAATATATACTGGTCAGAAGGTGGTGGGGTAAGGTCACCCAAAACACATGCAGTTATAGCCCAGGCCAGGTTTTAACCAAATGAAATGAAAAGTCTGTGCCTTAGCCCACTGCGTTGATTGAGTACATTTCCTTCAAAGTGCCATGGTGCCCACCATCCCAGGGAGGACTGTAGCACTTCTCAGGAGGTGTTGTCCAGTCATGGAGCCCGTTCCACAGACAACACTCAGGGCATAGAGCACTTGAAATGCAACTTCCATGAGGTGTGCAGCAGCTTAAGCAGAAACAGGTGAATGTTAAATGGACCTGAAATTAAATGCATCAGCTTGTTTTGACAAAACTTGAAGGTCTCCTTTTGGGTCACCCTGACCAGAAATAAGTATTTTGTTTTGATTTTCCTACAGAAAATTGAAAAATCTGGGGGAAAATGGACATTTCCAGCAGAAATCTGAATATAGGAAAATAGATATACAGGTCTTGTTACCTCTGACAAAAGTCCTAATTTCCTACATACCTAAATAAAAAAAATGCCCTTCTGAGTTCTGGTCTGTTTACTACTCTAAATGACTTTGGGAAAGAAAAATAAAACCTATTGCATATTATCCCTCCAAATTAACTAATTTGATGCCAGCTCCAAATGTGTCTAATATTAATTTCACCTTTGGAGAAATTGTGTAGGCCTCTCTGAAAATCAGACTATAACTCAAGAGTCTTGCTGGAGACAGGGGCAGCCGTGTATGCTCAGCAGCAGCTCTGAAAACCAGGTCTTTTTAGTTTAGTCTTAATTTTATTTAAAGTTTTGCATGAATTATTAATAAAAGTTTCTTTGGCATCCCATTCATTTATGAATGCCTTCCCATTTTTCTTTTGGCTTTGCTCATAATCCATCCCAAACTGACCAAAAATCATTTCACCAATTTACATGAAAAATGTCAATAATTTCATTCTGAGTTTGTGAGGTAGCTATTTTAACATTCACATTTTTAAAAAATAAAATTGATTATATTGAACCCTCCAATAATTAAGGACCACTTCCCCAGGTGGGATAAATCTTCATATTTCCATTCATGTCAGTGGACCTGTGTCCATTTATACACAGGTTGAGGAGCTGAGGATAAATATTTTCAAGGTGCCCCTGTCCAGATCAGATAGCAGTGGGTTTAGCATCCGATTGTGTGTTCAGTTCACAGATTACTGTGCGGTGTGGTTTGTTTCAACTTTATGTAATTTGTGCATCTTGGCTTTCATTTTGACATTAGTCTAGCTAAAAATGAAATCTGGCCAATGCCAATTAATTTAGCCTGTCTTTGGGTCAAAACTTTCTGAATCCAAAGAGTTTCAGTTGTTTTTCATCCTAAACCATAATTTAACCCCATCCTCCTTGAATTGCAGCTCTGTCATGCTGCTGATGTTCACAGAATTACTTGGAGTTAGCTACAAGATTATTAAATCCGTGAAACAAAGTCACCACTGGCATAAGGAGTGACAACAATACGAACAACAGTGGAATTGGATCTGCTTATTTCCCTGATGTACGTGGTGAAATAGTACTGTTTAGAAACAGAACCAGCAGTACCCAGCGAATTACTCCTATTTGTGGTCTAAAACAATGAAGCAAAGGAAGTTGGAAACATGGGCACAGAAGACGACAAATTTCACCTCCTTACCTCCCTCGCAGTAGAATTAAACAAACTTTCTCTTTCCTCTGCAGGTATTTCCAGATTCCGCAGGTAAATCAGCAGATGAACCTGTTATAGCTCCTAGAAAACTGAGATCCCATCTGGTTATCCAGCATCTTTGTGAGCACTCTGTTTGATTCCAGGATGAACAAGACCAAAGCTCTTAATGTGGTTCTTCCATTACTGTTCAGTAAGAACTGGAGTTCAGATCAAAGTGTCCCTACACATATTCCAGATCACTGCAGAAACAGCACTGACCTCACTATCTTTCTGGTCACCTCATACAGCCTGGAGACCATCCTAGGCATTGTAGGGAATATGTGTCTGATTGGTGTCATAGCTAAACAGAAAGAGAAGGCCAATGTGACCAACATCCTCATTTCTAACTTGGTAGTCTCTGACTTGTTCATGGTCATTGTCTGTCTCCCTTTCACCATTGTTTACACCATAATGGATTACTGGATATTTGGTGAGGTCATGTGCAAAATGACCTCCTTCACCCAGTGTGCATCTGTGACTGTGTCAATTCTCTCCCTGGTTCTCATTGCTCTGGAAAGACACCAGCTCATCATAAACCCAACTGGCTGGAGGCCAAGCGTCACCCAAGCCTATCTGGGGATTGTAGTTACATGGACATTAGCCTGCTTGGTGTCCCTACCTTTCCTGACCACCTCCATTTTGACAAATGACTTGTACAAGCAGCTCTCTTATTTCATGAATTATTCCACCGACAAGGCCATATGCATGGACTCATGGCCTTCTGAGCAACAAAGACTCACCTACACCACCACCTTACTGCTGTTCCAGTACTTCATCCCCCTCTTTTTTATCATGCTTTGCTATGTGCGTATCTACATACACTTGCAGAAAAGACAGGAAATGTTTGAGAAGAATGAATATAGTAACAGGACTGTTCAACTGAAGAGAATAAATTTTTTGTTAGCATCCATGGTTGCTGCCTTTGCTATTTGCTGGTTACCTCTGCACATTTTCAATACCATTGAGGACTGGAATTATAAAGCCATTCCTCCTTGCCACCATAACCTAATCTTTTCATTGTGCCACCTGGTAGCCATGGCTTCCACCTGTGTCAACCCAGTTATCTATGGCTTCCTAAACAGTAATTTCAAAAAAGAAATGAAGTCACTGATTCTGAACTGTCAACGTAATTCACTGACAATATCAGTGGAAGAATATGAGCATTTACCTTTATCAACCATGCAATCAGAGGTCTCCAAGGGCTCCATGATGCTAAGCTCCAGACATAATTCCATCTAGAAATGAAAGACGTCTTCAGAAGTGTCTTTTCAAGAGTCTGGAGACCAGCTGTCTTAATTTATTCCACATAGATACTAAGAGCAGCAGAAGATACCATAGTTTGATTCCAGGATGTGTACTGCGGCCAGTTGCTGTCAATTTTTGGAAGAATTCTTCCTTGACATAATAAAAATATCTTAAGGCTGCATGATCACAGGAAATGTAGAGAGTGTGTGCATGTCTAAGAAATAAGTAGTGCAGCACTGCACACAGGCTGCACATGGATAGGCCTCAAGCATTCATGTTCCTTTGTTTCTAAAATGTCTCTGGTTGCACACAGGTAGACATCAGCTGCGCATCCATATCACTGATGAGAAAACCCAGGGCTCCTAACTACAGATTTCAAACAATATCGTTAGTGAAAATTTTCCTTTACTTGTCAGTATTAACGAGAATTTTATCCACTGAAGACCGACTGCTACAAGCAGGGTGTGTACATGCACGCACGCACGCGAGCGTGCACGCACACACACACTTTTCCTAAGTCCCAACATTGTTGACACCCACCTACTAATAGAGAACACTTATCTTTCAGTGGGTGAGAGTCAGAGTTGCTCAGATACAGCTCATATCCAGCAGTTCAGCACCAACAGCATATTGCTTTCTGCTTTACATAGAGTTTGGGCATGGAATTTAAACAAAGTGAAAAAGCTTGCATGAAAGAACCATGGACCTGCCTTTCCAGCACCACTTGAGTTGGAAGGAAACCTGTCTCACCACAGCTTATCTCTTCTTTAGGCCAGGCTCTTCATGGTACTGTTACACATATGCTAGTCAGAAAAGTACAACAAGGACAGAGCACTAAACTATTTGTGCAAACCAACAGTGTTGCTTCTTGAGAAGATGTAACCAGATCTAGCCCTTTCTAGTCATGAAAGAGCAGCTGGAAGTCTATTGCTTATGTTATACCACATTCAGACTGCGCAGAACACTTCACTCCTATGAAGATGCAAAGCAATTACAGATGTATATGGAAACCCATTTGATTGACTTTTCTGTGTTTTTTAAAGCTGTAGAATATAAAGCTTCATGCTACTGCATGTACAGTCACAGACTTTGGTACTGGGAGGTGGCTGGCTTATTGGAGCCTTTGACAGTTCTCAGTTGTGAGAGCAAGGGTGCACTTAGATTGTGAAACAACTTGTCTGTGTTTGATGTATCACTCAATTTCCAAGCTCTCCCTTGCTGAAGGACCAAATGTTCCTGCTACTCAGATAGAAATACTGGTTGTAATGAACAACGACACTCCAACAGGAGTGAAAACCATATGCCAAGATTCTGACCTACCCATTAAAATAAAGCATATTGTCTCCTAGGGCGCTGGGCAGAGAGCACACCTGGATGGAATCAGTGACAGGGGCAGTGCTGACACAGTGACCATCCTATGGAGAAGCAATGAAAATGCACAAAAGGGAACAAAAGTAGATTGACACACACATCTTAAATCCAAGCTACATGTAAATTAAGTGGGCATATGACATGATTATTATGGAGTAATTTATCTTGGATTTTACTTTATAGTAAATTTACTCCATAGGAAGGAATGGACAGGACATACAATCAGCCCACCCAAACCAGCTGTCACAGTAGGTGTTATTACAGTCTGGCCACCAGGTAGAAGAGGAGGCAGATTGCACTAAGCCTTTGATCCCCAAAGCTAAACTGATTAGGGGAATGGACACACCACAGAGTTGATGCAGTAACTTTCCTATATGATAAAATTGTTACGCATTAAAATTGTTCACGTGTCAGCTTTATCCTGATGATTTATCATGTAGTAGAAGTGTGCATCCTGTGCCCACTCTAATTTTTCTACATAGTAAAATTAGTTTACTACATAGTAAGAATGGCACAAATCTACATCCTCAGTGGTGTGCCTTAGCATTTTTCCTGGGAAACTTGCACACAGTAAGAGACGTAACCATCATCCTTTTACAAAGAACAGTATCTTGGGCTTCTGAGGCCTGAGTTCATCTCTTCATCAAGCTATTTCTCTTCAGCTATCCTGGGAAACCAAGATATGAGGAAGCAAATATTTAAGCATTGCTGAGAGAAATATCATGTAAAAGAAGAGACCAGCACCTTCACTAAAAAGATATCAGCCAATTTTAGAGACATAACTGGGGGTCACCTTTTGTCCTGCTTTGACACCCTGTAACATCTCAATGGATGTGCACTTGGCGGAAGTTACTCAGTGCATAGACATTATGGTGATCAGAGCCACAGAAATCATACTGCTTGGTAACAACTTACCAAGATACTTGGGTGCATGGGTAGTTCAGAGCAACATCTGCTTTATTTATATTATTTCTCAGACCACAGCATATTGGACAGAACTTAGCTGAAAACAGGAATTAAGCCTTTTTGTACAACAAGATAGCAAAAGGCATCAACAACCAGTCATCTAAGTACTCAGCTGTTGTAAGTTAGAGGAGGCTTACTACATTCAATGGAACCAGCTGACATCTGTCAAGGATCTGGTGCATTAACTTTATTGCGAGCTAAAGCTGCTCATTACCTTACAGGCTGTACCTCAATTTTTTGTGTTTGGCTGTCTATTCCAAATTCTGTATACCTTCGTAATATAATCCATATTTAATGGGTTTTTTGTATTTTTAACTATTTATCTGGCATTTAGAGAAAGACATACCATATTTACTTGAATAGAAGATGCCCCTGCTTATAAGGCAACCCCTCAATAATTAGATTCTATATATGGAACATTTATAATTTGTTGTAATTTTCCAGGTATAAGATCTAATTATTGGAGGTTTGCCTTGACTTTGCCCCCTTCCATTGCTACAGCAGGGAAAATAAATCTGGGGGATCAGGTAATCCTTTGCTTTTTGCTTTCCCCCAACTTTTTCCCCTGGCAGCCCCTTCCCTCTCACCTTGCTGTTAGACCCTGCTCTTCCTGAACATGTGGAAGTGAGGAGCAAATTTGATAATAATTTTGAAATTCAGCATGACTGTAGCAATTTGCATATAGTACCCACAGACTTAGTTCATCCAGAATTGATGCGTGCTATCTTTTTTTTTTAACTACTGCAAGTTTTAGCACAGGTGTTTCATAAATATTTTTGAGGAACACTTTAGTGCCTGCTTATATCAAGTATAAACTATGCATATTATTTTTCCAAAACCAAAAGACTTGTGATTTACCACATAGTTCACTGGGCTGAGCCCACCAGAGTCAAAAGCATTTCAAGCCATGGTGAACTATGACATTGCATATAGGTCACCCAGATTCCCTCTGTCATGCCTTCTCTCAGCCTGGCATATATGGTTTGTGTGTCCCTTTCCCCCACCCCCCACCATGGTGACACCATAGCTCAATACTGCTTACTATGTGTGTATATTCCAAATACCCCTCACAAAGGATCTATGTGCTAATTAGCCCCTGGTCATGACTGGAACCTGATGTTCTTGGGACAAGTCCAGGAATGCTCTAAAAATACACATGCAGATGAGGTGCAAGGCGACCTGGTCTGGCTTCACCTCATAGAGGGTGGGCCACACTAATTATATGTGCCAGGCTAAGAAGGACTGACAGAGGGATTCTGGATGAACTGTATGCGATGTTGTGGCTCACCTTGACTTGAAAAATGTCAATGGGCACTACCATATAATTTATATTCAGATGTGCTGAATGAACCTACTTTTGTGGTAGGTTCCCATCAGCTTGTTTGCCCAATGTGGGCCATGCATTTTATTGTCATGCTGCATTTAATCAACTTTATAGTTGGTTCCAGTTGCTGAGCACTTGCTGCTTTTGGTCGCAGTTTAATGACTGACAGCTTTTTTGTGTAGCTGCGGCCACAATGTGAGATTTCCTTAAATGTGATTATAAGATGAGGGGCTTTTTCCCTATGCCAATTGGGAGAAAAAACATTATCATGTATTTGAGTAAATTTGGTATATTTATGCTTCTCTCAGATAAGCTGTGCACTTTACTTTTTATACGAAATTATTTCTCTTGATTATTTTTTCACAGATACATACCCAAGTCCAGAAATTGAGTCAAATAGAAAGAGAGGAGGCTCTTCTTTTATCATAGTCACAGTGGCATAGATTTCATAGACATTAGGGCTGGAAGGAACCTTGGAAGATCATTGAGTCCAACCCCCTGCCCCAGGGGCAGGAAGTCAACTGGGATCAAAGGATCCCAGCAAGATGAGTGTCCAAATGTCTTCTAAAGGAGTCCAGAGTAGGTGCTTGGCACCACCTCTGGCGGCAGTTTTTTCCAGACCTTGGAGGCTCAGACAGTAAAGGAGTTCTTCTTTATGTCCAGCCTGAAATAGTCTTGGAGGAGTTTGTGACCATTTGACCTCGTCATCCCTTGGGGTGCTCTGGTGGACAGTTCAAGATCACCTTCTGAAACAGCAAATAAACCAGAACTAGGAAAGCAATTGGTGCTGAGTAGGACAACATATATTATTTTCTTTTCACATTCTTTAAACTCTGCCTAAACTGTCTTTGAATTGAGTGCTTAAGTGAGATTTGTGTAATACATGGATTTTGTACTGCCCTAATACCTATGGGGCAATTTCACTCAATTAGCCTTGAGTAATTCTGTTTGTTTCTTGCACTCATTAGAATTCCAATATTTATTTAACTGAAATGCATGTCAAGCTGTGATAAACAATTATGTTATACATCAACATAGAAAATGATAAGAACTGTAGCCCTGTGTAAATATATTAATTTCTAATCACAGTCTTATAAAGGGAACAGCACAGTTAGCTGTGGAATTTTTTGCTTCCAAGCAGAATGCAATGTACATATGGTTTGTATTTGCCACTACTTCTCAGTTAAGTCTGTTTGCCAGAAACTTACATGGTTGTAACTGATGCTTTGACACATGTACTTACATTTAATATCATTGTACACTGAGTTCCAATTTTGTTCTTAATGAGTGGAATTGTCTGCTGGGAATAATGCCATTTTATCTTCACTTTCTGCAGCTTTGTATAAATGTGAGTGCAAGAGGATGTAAAATCCAATCAATCCAAAGATTACCATAACTTGGGCCAACATTATAGGGTTCTGTCCTCCAATAGCTAGACCAAGTGCAGAAGTCCTATTCAGCTACTGCCTTGGGCTAATGGAGGTAGATATCTATGTCTTCCTTAATTGCCACTGAAGGCACCCTAGTCTGGAATTTAGATCTTCAGCATTCATGTTTCTGCCTAACTGTGGAGGTCCCCAAAAGTCCTACTGCCAAAGTTTCCACTAGTAAAATATCTAACGCAGTGGTTGTCAACTGGGGGTACACATACCCCTACAGGTACTTAAAAGGGTTGTAGGAGATACACAGAACTCTGTGTGTGTGCACGCAGCTGCAGCGCAACATGCTGATGGCCAGAAGCGCAGCTCGGCTGTGTGGAGAGTAGCTGGGTCCAGCTGGTAAGTTTGTTGTGGGGGCAGGGAGTGGGGCTGGGGCAGAGGCTGCCCAGCTGGGGCAAGGTGCAGAAGTGAGCCACAGGGAGGAGGGGAGTGGCTCCCACCACTACATGCACCCTGAAGGAGCATGGGGGGTGTGAGCCCCTGGATCTTTATGTGGGGCATGGCAGGCTGGGGCCGGAGCTGCGCTGGACTCTTCCCGGTGGGGGGCTGTACCAGGCTATGCTCAGGAAGGGCAGTGGCAGCACTGGGAGAGGGGTTAGAGGGACTATGGTGAATTCTGGAGTGGCTGCAGGCCCTCCCCCATAGTCTCTCCCCATAGCCCCCATGCTGAGGAGGGAGTGGGTCTTGGGCTGGGGCTGGGGCAGGGACAGGCACTCCCCAGCTAGACTGGAGCGTGGGACAGAAATGCAAGCAGCTTCTCCGGGAGGTGCAGAGGGGTGGTGGCTCCTGCTGCTAAATGCACCCCAGGAGGGCATGGGGGAGCATGTGCCCATGGATCTGCATGCGGGGTGTGGCAGGCTGCAGGCTGGGGCTGGGGTAGTACTGGGCTCTTCCCAGCAGGGGTGGCTGGGCCTGGCTGCACTAGGAGGGGAGGTTGGGCAGTGGCTATGGCAAACTTTGGGGTAGCTGCAGCCCCTACCATAGCCCCCTCCAGTGCTGCCACTGCCCGCCCCAAGCACAATCTGACCAAGCCCTCGCTGGGAACAGCCCGGAGCAGCCCTGGGCACAGCCCTGGCTGCAGCCCTCACTCCAGCCTGCCCTTGCCCCACATGCAGATCCTGGGGCATGCACCCCTTCCATGCCTTCCCTGGGTGTATGCAGCTGTGGGAGCCACCGTGTCCTGGGCCTCCCAGACAAGCTGCTCACAGCTGTGTCCTGCACTCTGCCCCAGCCGGGCAGTGCCTGACCCAGCCCCAGCCCCAGCCCCACTCTCTCCCTCACCACGGAGGCCTACAGGAGTGGGGTTATGGGGTGGGGGGGCTGCACCCACTTCAGAATTTGCCATAGCTCCCCCAGCCCCACTCCCAGCACTGCTGCCACCTTCCCCAAGTGCAGCCTGGCCAAGGCCCCGCCAGGAAAAGCCCAGCACCCCAGCTTGCAGCGGCAGCTGCTCACCTGCCCCACCACATGCAGAACTGGGGACACATGCCCCTCATGCCCTCCCCAGGTGTGCGCAGTGGCGGAAGCCATCCTCCTTCCCTGCACTCCCTGGACAAGCTGCTCATGGCTCTGTCCCACACCTTCCCCGCCCTGGCTGAGCAGCCCCTGCCCCTGCCCCTGCCCCTGCCCCAGCCCCACTCTGTCCCTCACCACGGGGCCTCAATCAGACCCTCCCTTAAAAAGAAGAAAAAAAAAAGTGGTACATGACCTGAAACTTTGAGACAAAAGGGGTACACTTGTTAAAATCGGCTGAAACCCACTGATCTATAAGGCACCTAAATATCAGTTTCTAGACATGCCCAACATTTGTCAAGCCCTGAAGAGCTAGTGACTACCCAACAGCTAAGCCCCATCAAGATTTGCTAAATAGGCCTCCCCTTAGTTCAGAGCCTAGATGCTCCAGCTCTACCTCTGCCTGAAAGCAGTGCTGTTTTACCCACTCAACATACTTTTTCAGGTTGCAAGAGGTCCAGGTTCAATTCCCCTGTTTGCTGGTAAACCAACCAGCTCATAGAACCCAATCGACCAGGCAAATGCTTTAATCGCAACATTAAAGGGATCCTGAGGTGGGATCCTGTTGTGGCCTGCTGAAGATGTTCTACCTTGAATGGAATGATTCAGTATTTTTGACCAAGAAAGAAAAAGAAAGAAAAGGACTGTTTCCTTAGGAAAAGGAAACCTGGGTTCCTACCAAGTGAATGCTCCAGTCACTAGGCTACAAAGTCATGCTTTTTTTTTTCTGCTTTATCTCTGGATATTTAGCTTGTACATGCTAAATGGAACAGCTTCCTCAGGAGAAGCCAAAAGAACCCCATGCAGGGTACCCAACGTCCTGGGGGCCAGGCACTCATGCAGGATATATGCTCCAATCTAGTCAAGAAAGGAAGGGTCTTTAATCTGGGTCTATCACATTCTGGGGTAATGGCTCTAACCACAAGAAACTGCCTAAAAATTACCTCTTTCTCTAGCTGGCACCTCTCCAAGCTCAAGTTTCTAGTTTGTGAATCCCAAATGAAGGATTCTCTGAAAGGCATGTACCATAAGTCCTACCTTTCTGCTACTGATATATCTCTGTGTTCAACATACTCTGGGGCAACTCACTCTCCCAGTGCTTTGT